CATAGCTCATGGTCATTATAAGACATAAGATGTTTTGTACATTGTTATTATTATTATCATAGGTTTGTTATGAAACGGGTTACATGTCCATTATAGAATATAAGACATAAGATGTGCAGTCATTGTTATTATTATCCTATGTTTCTTATTAAACGATTTGTCCTATGTATAATGCATAAAAAGTCTGTATTATATGTATTCAGTGTACTCAGTGTAAATAAATGCATGAAAACAAGAATATTTTGTTTTATTTGAACACAGTCCAGCAAAGGATCGCGGGGGGGGGGGGGGGGGCACCGCCGCGGATCTTTAGGTTTCCGGAGTCCAAGGTTTCCGGAGTCCAAGGATTCCGGTGACCTTGGATTCCGGAGTTTAAAGACGCCGGAAACTAAGATTCCGGAGTCCATGTATTTCAGAGGAATTGTCGGAGGTGTACTTTTTCTCATAACGTGTTCACTTACAAACAATATGCAAATGGAGTCACGTGGAAAACATGATAAAAATAAAAACATAAATCATTTTTGCCATAACATAGGAGGACGTCAAAGGGTTAACATGAATCCTTGCAATCTATGCTCAAGTGTATACGTCTGGCCTGATAGTTTAAAAAGACATGTGAAATATAAACACGGTGTGCAGGAATCCAAAGTGCCGCAACAACAACAGCAACAACAACAGCAACAACAACAACAACTAGCTTTGCAGCAACAACAACAGCTGCCTTTGTTACTGCAACAACAACAATAACTACAACAGCTGCCTTTCTTACTGCAACAACAACAGCAACAGCAACAACAACAACAGCTGCCTTTGTTACTGCAACAACAACAACAACAGCAACAACAACAACAACAGCTGCCTTTCTTACTGCAACAACAACAACAACAGCAACAACAACAACAACAAGAGTTTGTGTTTCAACATCCTTTTACGGCTAATGTATCGGGACCCACCTGCTCCGGCAAGACTTATTTTGTGAAAACGTTGTTGCAACATTGTATGAGCAAGATTTCTCCTCCACCAGAGAGAATCTTGTGGCTCTATAAGCGATGGCAACCCCTGTATGACATCATCAAAGCCACTGTGTATCCCTCAGTCGAATTTATGCAGGGCATTCCATTAGATTTGGAGCAAGATTCGTTCATTCACCCTGGAACGAGGAATCTCGTGATACTAGACGATCTCATGTCTAAGGCGGCCAAAGATTCTAGAATCAATGAGTTGTTTACGGAGGGTAGTCATCATAGAAATTTGTCAGTTGTGGCTATCAACAAAAATCTGTACTATAACAAAGATCCCACTCAGAGACGAAATTGCCACTATCTGGTCCTGTTTAACAATCCTGTGGACAGACAGCAAGTCATGACTTTGGCTCGACAGATGTATCCCGAAAATCCTCAACACCTGCTGAGACATTTTAAAGAAACCATTTCCAAGCCTTATGGATACCTACTGATCGACTTGAAGCCGACCACACCCGAACATCTGCGCCTGCGCACAAGCGTCTTGAATTCTATAAAATCTCAACCTTTCGATGCCATCTCTCATACTCACAACGACACGCCTAGCATTCAGACGCATTCAGAGCTAGATCAATCAACAACTTATCATTCTGCAAAGCATCCTTCAGCAGATCAACTGCAATTCCCAGAAACAGCACCTACCGATCTAGACGAGATGCCTTCCTGTGACGATTGTGGTCTTGTGTTCGAAAGCATGCATGACCTCCAGAGACATGTAAAAGGATGGTGTCCCGAAAATTTTTCCCTTAAACGAAAGGGAGACAATGTGGAAATGGAGGAGGGCCAACCACCTGCAAAATGGATCCCATTCGAACCCATAGAGATGGAAGAAGATAAAGATAACCGCGAACATGAAGTTTTTAACGTTCTCATGGATAAAGCCAAAGAGAACAACGAGACGGAATGGGATCAAAAGTACGATAAATACATCAAAGAGGGATTAACCCAGGAAGAAGCCAGAGCAAAAACCGAGGAAAAGTTGAAGTCAAAAGACTTACAAGCGTTCGCTAATAACTATGCCACCCTAATCCAATACATTATACAATTAAACCAGTCCATTCATACCACTATCATGGACGTTGTAGCCGACTTCCTTTCTAAGGGTTACGGTGAAGTCCATCAGAATGGCTCTTAATAAAAATCGTCATCTCCTCGACGAAATGTGGGACGACGAAAGTGAGATGGAAACTGATGATGAGGACGACAGTGAAACAGAAGAGTCCGAGAGTGAAGACTAAAGACTAAAAGAGTGAGGAAACCTTTCAGATTTAAGATAGGGGATCATGTGCGGATAAGTCATCTACGAAACGTCTTTAATCTCGAATATGACGAAAAGTGATCAGGGGAGATATTCGTCGTTTCCGAGAGACATTTAAGAGGAGGATTGCCCATATACAGACTCAAAGACTATTTAAACGAAGAAATCAAAGGAACTTTTTATCAAAATGAATTGCAAAAAGTGGACGTTCGTGAAGATGACGTGTTTAAAGTAGAAAAAATCATAAAAACAAAAGGCCGAGGAGACAATAAACAATACCTTGTACAATGGTTACACTGGCCTTCCAAATTTAATTCGTGGGTCAATGCCAATGATGTACAAACTTATAGCTGAATCTTTTCCAAACTGTATACCTAATTTCATCATCAAAAAAGCAAGTTTGTGAATGAAATTATTTATGTATAATTAATGCATATGTCTATTAAAATTATATACATGTATGTTATTGTTTTTGCTTCATCTGAACAATAAATGTGAGATTAAAATCAGTTTGCTTGTTAATATTTTCTTTGAATTGAGTTATACATATTTTATTAGCTAAGAGTCAAAAGGATTCTTTAATCCTAGTCCTTCATTGGACTATTATTTGAAGGTTTTGTGTTCTTACTTTTGTTTATAAAAATAAACAAAAAATAAGAATTCGTTCGTATGTCATAAAAGTATTCCCATAAGATTTAAAGCCTCGTGTACCTTTGATAACTTTTTCACCTGCAAATGTTTCGGTTGACTGATGCCCCATTTAAATGTCTCATTCAACACAGTCCCATTTTAACCCTCCATTGTTCACATTTTCAATACACCATTAATCGATAGTACAACAGAGTTTTACGTTATTGAAAAGCCCTTTAGGGACCACAAAAGGCCCTTTGTGTTCCCTTTATTGACTTGATCGTTTTACCGATTTATTTCTTTTGTTTCCTTCAACAATGACCATCATTTATTTCCATGACCTTGCGAATTTCCCATTCTAAATTAAAAAATTGCTTTTGTTCCATTCTTTACAATCAATTCTATGACTATTGTTTCAAGATATAATACTCTGTGACGTCACAGGATTATCGATCTCTTCTTTTGATGATGACCAATTGTTTTAAATCATTCATGAGTAAAGAGGGCGTGTTCGTTTCCATGGTTATTTATGACGTCATTGCCTCCACAGCTCCACTGTGGAGCTCCATGTTAAGTATCTGCGCCAGAACTCTGGTTTTTACACTTACTAAAATGCTACGATCTATATGTTAAATTTACATAATTTAATTCTGGTTGTAACGCTGTATTTGATTGGATAAAAAATTTACTTTATATCGTATAAAATGGGTTGCCAACGTCACAATGACTTGCATCAAAAACGTATCGATCCGCCTGACGTTACATTCAAATTTTGTACAAATTGAAGTCATTTTTTAAGGACAATCATCTTTTTTTTCTTACACCAAATGAATGAAAATTAAATTATAAGGAATGAATTTAATAGCTACCCATTTTATACGGTATAAACTGGGTTGGAACAGTTTACGCTTTTTTATAAACCGCTTCGCGGTTTATAAAGCGTAAACTGCCCCAACATAGTTTATTCCGTATAAAATGGGTAGCTATTAAATTCATTTCTTAAAAGAATGGCTCCTACATGAATACATGATAAGGAATGCGCCCAAATTCGCGACTATTGCTACTCGTACTTTGTTGTCTTTTTTCAATAATTAACTTTTATCAACTTTTATTAATAGCAGGTCCAATTAGTCATGTTTAATGAAGAATCATGAAAAAAGTATTACAGATAAAGATGCGTTGATATTTTTTAAAGCTCTCACGCAACTCTTATCTAGTGACCGAAACAATCTCGAAGCATTACTTGTAACTTTCAAATCATAAGATCGGTGGGCTAAAACTTGTAATTTTTATATATATGCTATTTTTATATATAGCTTGTATCATTCGAGTATATCAGAGGGTGACCTGGCCCTGGGATAATGAAACATCTTAAGCTTAAGTCAAAAATACTTAGTTGCACAAAAATGTTGTAGAAGTCAAACAGACCAAAATCAAAATATTTTTTCAATATTGCTCCACAAAAGTGTTGTTATCTGCAAATTTGGAGACTAATTCAATAATTAATAAACATTTTACAAGTGGTTGAAAATTTGAATTCTTAAGTTTGTTTCATGATCCTGGGGCCTGGCCCTCGATACCGGTGTCTAAGGGGTGTGGTGGAGAGTACATTTCAAGTTGTTCCCCTGGTATCACAGTGATACCTTATTCTTCACGTATTATCACTGTTTATTACACAATTTACTTACTGCATACTGACTGACACAGAAATTATAACATATTTTTCATTTTCATAGAACAAACAGTATCATTATTTTTACTACATAACTTACAATTTCATATATATATTGTGTAATTGTATATCGGGGCATTGTATATTACAAAAGATATAGTTATGTCGTAATATCTGCTATTTAATCTAAGAAGCCTCTAACACCCCTAGTGAGGTTTATTAAAACGGGACTTTTGGTGATGCCTTTGTTGGGACTTCCCAACTTCATACAGTAATTGTATTCACAGAAAACATGTTAAATGGTTGTTAAAAAGGAGCACGCGGGTAATATATGAGTGGTCTAGCATTGTAGCAAACAGTTCTCGGGTAATTTCCACTTTAACTGATAAAACGATAAAAAAATATATATATGGCTTACCTTAACTTATGGCCTGATTTTTCACTGAGTTCCTCTGCAGTGCAAGGATTTTTTAATTTAATGAAGGCGTTAATTATCCCAACTTTGTGACCAAATGCAAACACAAGAGTCCTCAGTCCATCTCTCACAATTTGCTCAATTTGCACAATCCCGAGGAGAATTAGATGCCATTATGGTATAAACGAATGGATGTGCAAATTGTGTAGTGGGCGTTTTGGTGTATGGTGTCCTATTCGGGTCCTGGTATTGAGATAAAATAAATCGTTGAATTTTATATCAAAATATATTTCTTTTTCGAAATAAATAAATAAATGATATATATGCAATGTTCGAAACACCAGCTTATATCACTATGCTATGTGTTCTTGTTTATATTGAACAAAGAAATCTGATAATTGGATATTTGACTAAAGAAAACGGTACGGTTTCAATACAAGCCCGCAAACAAAAATATTGCTGTTAAACTGATTGCTTTCATTTGTTCAGGAGATCTTTTGTTGTCTTTTAGGCATCAGACCGAAAGAAAATTCTTTATTATCTGCCACATCTGTTTCATATTTGGATGTTTATTGACTTAAGACGATAATGACCAGCTTATTACTGACTGAATGACTTCAACTTTTCCATTGTCAACTTTCCATATTAATGTAGCAATATTCCAACATCATCTGCATTTGGTGTTTATGTCTTCCAACTGATTCGATGCGCAAGAGCATGCTCTGAGTACGAACAAACTACTGACAAATAAGTTGATGTTACAAAAGATTTCAACAACCCGTTTTAAGTCAGCTTTTTTGAAAAAACGGCCATTATAATGACCCTGCTTGCAAATTCAGCCTATCTGACGTGGTATTTTGACTGACATGTTAGGCCTTTACTTTAATACTTAATTTGAGTATGGAGTACTCCGTATACCTAATCAACACATAGGGCTCACTGCTGGTGTGACTGGTCGACAGAGAATGCTTACTCCTACAAGACACCTGATCCCACCCCTGATGTTTTAGCCCTATTCACGTTTTGTTTTGTTTTCTGGATTTACGAGATTAATTACCGCTGGTTACCTTTAACATTATATTCATATCTTCTAGGCATCTGACTGAAAGGCAAATACGGTCTTCATATTGAGGGTGAATAGGCTTTCCTTTAACTTCAGAGTGATGCAAACACTTGCCGATTCGTCTCCATTGTGTCTATTTTATGATTTTGATATAAAGAAGGAAAGAAAGAAAAAAGAAAAAAAGAATATTCAACCTTTTATCAAAGCTGGTGAATTTTCTCCTTCATGAGTATCTAAACCATTAGATAAGATATACAAATCAAAGATGAATAAAGACAGATATGTTACAACAATTACAATGTATGGGTATGTACAAGGTATGAGTACAGTTATTGATACTGAATATAAAAAAACACAATAAAAGACCCAAAATAAAATTTGGTGTGTGTTACTTTAAGTATTGTAAAAATGTAAAATGCCGATGATTTAAGGATTCGCTTTCGAAAAAACAATGCCTTCTTGCACGGTATCAGTATCTTTTTCGCCAACTTTAATCACTCGAAACCCATGTTCTTCTATTTCTTGTTTCTTGCGCTCATATCCCCAACCAACACCGCGTCCTTCTCCAAACGGACCCGATAAACTGACCGGAAGGCAAATGAAAAGGCTAAAGGGTAGGAAAAACTGTGCTTTTGGCTCGTTGACTTGTTTTTGGGGATAGGAAGATACAGGGGGATCATACGCCATTCCGTAGCCATCTGGTTTGAGGACTCGCTTAGTCTCTTTAAGAATTCCATCGACGTCGTATGCATCATGAAGTACATCGTTGATTAAGACGAAATCAAATTTTTCAGTCCAATCCTGTGGGAGTTGTCCACCTTTCATATGGATATAGATGATGTTCTTCTGCTCACTTTTTTGAAGCTCTTTGATGGCCTGATCTATGGAGACTTTATCCGAGTCGATACCGTAAATAGTACAGTTAGGGTACATTTTGGCTACCTCTCTTGTATGCTTACCATAGCCACAACCAATATCTAACAGTGTAAACTCGGTCCCTAAGTAGAAGAGAAATGTTTGAATTTAAATCGAAAATTATAAATTATTGTTAAGAAATGTGATTATTAGGAATATCCTTATTTTCAAACCTGGTTTAAGTTCTAATACAGGACGCAATAGGTTCTTGTTCCACTCCTGAAGAGCTTCCGGTGTACGGTATGTATCCAGCAAGGCAAGAAAAGGGTCATAGTATCCGTAACCTGAACAAAAGGTAACCAGAAATTACATTCAACATAGTGGTGGTTACCTGTGCAAGTTAGAGAATAATCACACAAAATATTTTCACATGATATATACGTGTACATGAAATATGTTAAAGCTTATTAACCGAAAGATCCAAGCTATGATGTATCACTCATTATGAGACGTTTTCAGCTTTTGATGTCAATTCAAAATCAATTTGGGAATATTAATAATATATGATGTTTGAAATATTTAACAATTTCCTCCTTAGAAAGGGAATTATGAATATTTTGGATTACCACTAGCTGAATTAAACCCAAATTCCTTTAAAAACATTAAAATAATGAGCCTTACAATCAAAGGCAGTTTTTTAACATGCTTTTTCACCTGGAACCAGTATATATTGATCTATCTAATCTAATCTAATTCTTTTTCACTTCTGAATTACTGAAGACAGAAGGATGGATGGTTTTCGCATTGAAACTCAACCCTTTAATGCGATACTTCAACATCCATTTGATACCTTTCATCCATTCTGACAAAGTGTAAAGGTCCTCTTTGCTATGTGTGGCCCATCGTCTGGCATAATCTTTGACAGAATTCATAATGTTCATGAAATATTGACGCCAGTTGAAAGATATGATATACGAGGGGCATTTCAAAAGTTCTGGCAAGTGGTGTGCGGTAAATTAATGAGCGTCATTATCATAAATTGAATTAAATCAATCCCTCAAAATAGTCTCCGTTGACCTGGACACACTTTTTCAGTCTTGAAATCCACGTGGAAAATGCTGCCCTATAGTCCTCTTTCGGTATACGCTTCATACACTGGAATACGGCACTTCCGACTGCATGACGACTTTCAAATCGCCGTCCTCGGAGGGCTTCTTTGATAACGGCATTCAACCAAAAATCGCATGGAGCTAGGTCAGGACTGTAGGGTGGATGTGGTAAAACGGCAATACCATTTTCCTTTAAATATTTGGTTACTACCTCTGATCTATGGGCAGGTGCGTTGTCATGGAGGAGCTTTATTCCTCTAGTACTGGTTGTTGGTCGGGTCGTTTTATAGTGCTCTACAACCTGAGACAAGACATTCTCTGCATAAAATTGACCAGTAACACTGCTGTGTTCTGGAACCGGAACTTGAGCAACAGGGCCTTTAGAATCAAAAAATAAGGCGTACATTACTCTCCGGACAGACCGGTTTCTGCGTGCAATTTGAGGCCTTGTATCATTTTCACCGATCCAAAATTTATTATTGAGCTTAGTTTCCGGTTCAAAAATATATATCCATGTTTCATCACCAATTACAATCTCATTTATTCGCTTTTGGTCACAATCTTCATAAATTGTTAGTAACTGTGAAGCCATTTCTACCCGGATGCGCTTTTGCTCTTCCGAGAGAAGATGCGGCACCCATCTAGCACAGACTTTCCTAAGCTTTAAGTTTTCCTTTAAAATACGAAAAACTGCTGACGAATTAATGTTAGTTAAGTCTGCTATTTCCTCAACTGTATATCTAGCATCATCAGCTATCGTATTTTGAACAGCGACGATTTCGTTTTCGCCATATGTACAAACTGGACGCCCCGAACGGGGGTCATCTTCAATTGATTTTCTACCCTCTTTAAACTGAACTACCCATTGTGCTATTGCTCGATATGAAAGAGCATGCTCTCTATATACTACATCTAAATCGGCTTTTATTTCTGTTGCCGTAAAGCCAAGCAATGAGCGAATTTTGCAATAGGCTCTTTGCTCAACAAAAAAATTGTTCTCCTTATCAGTCGTTTTTACGCCCATTATACAGAGTATACCTAATTATGACGTCATTTTAGCAGACCTATACGTCATTTTGAATGTAAAATGACGTCACTACTAATGCATATTTGCCTAAGCTTTACAGTGGTATCAGAGTCATTTTAATCCGTAACGTAGTTAAAATTTTATATACCAGTTGCCAGAACTTTTGAAATGCCCCTCGTACTAGTAGACTAAGACAAAAGCAGCTAGGACTCTTTAGTGGGCCAACGCCTACCCTCACAAGGGCACTCAGATTTTAAGATCTCATTTCATAGAACACCTTTCACTTGCTAATGCCAAGCGTCAGGCGAAGGAAAAGCTGTTGCTATCTATCGCATATTGTTTATCTTACGTCCTCCGGACCCCATCCGTAGTCAAACATAGAACCTTTTGAACACAGACGCTCTATTCACGATATTTACTAGTACTTATCGTCCTATAGCAATACCGATTAAAAGTAGAATACCATATATTGATGCCTTATGAAGATATATACGCTTGTTGCAATATATACCATTTCAGATCTATAGCATATGACACTGTAAATCAAGCGTACACCTTAGGTAGACTTAACTATTTATAGGTTATCTCACTTCAATAATTTACAAAACGTTTAATACAATTGCTGAATTTTCTCATCACCTTTTATTTTTTTTCTTATCACTTTGGTTCAACGTTTTCATTAAATTTCAATAAGTTCATGTATAAAATCTCTGAGGTGAAACGTAATTGTTCGTAATTATCTAAGATATGACAATTAAACACAAACAAACCCCTTGGTCCATCTTTTGACATGACTTTCTCCAGCTGAGGAAACATTTCGCTAAATATAGGGAGCACACTGGCAACGATGCCCGACGTCTTCAACAGGGATTTCTCGAAAGGAAGTGAATATTTGCCGTCTTCGTGAAGTTTGACGATTCCTGCTGAGATCATGCAGCCAAGCCATTCTTGAATGTACCTGTTAGAGATCAAATTATGTTATTTTTTTTTAATTTGGGTTCATTTGTGTTACATGTATGTAAGACCATTTTTGTGCATGGATGAAGGGAATAGAAAAAAATCGAACTTTCTGCAATTTTGAATTTGATTTCAAATTCAATTCACTCAAACACTCATATGATACAGTTTATGACATATTAAAATTTAATGGGACAGGTCAATGTTCTTTATAACTGCAGGCACGTATATCAGGCAATGCTATATTAAGATACGGAAGCACTGAATGTTTCAATAAAATATAGGTTCTTTATCATATGTGCAATATATTAAAGGGGTTTCATTGAAAGTACTTTTGTAAAGTTTATATATAGAGGATATTATATTTGTAGTTCGATATGGATTTTTTTTCACGTAAGGGACAGGATTGTTTTATATTCTCACGAGTGCTCCGCACTCGAGAAAGTATAAAAAAAAATCCTGTCTCACGAGTGAAATAAATTCCATATTCAACTACAAAACATTGAATTTTCTGTTTATTACATCCTTTTACCCCTATCTTTTCTAAGCACAGTGCCATAGGCCGCAACGTCATAGCTGAGCTTAGCAATTGTGAGATTGAAAACATTGTAACATGGAATTTAGCAACATATTTGGAAAGAAATTGGTAGTTTTAGTCTCTATCAAGACGATTTAGTAAATATCTCTATCTAATGTAAGACAAGAAATTATTTTTACTTACTTTGATATCCTTACACAATGTGAGAGAATATCACTTTGGTATCCTTTCACACTGTGAGAGAATATCACTTTTATTAAATAAATAAATCACAGTATTAATTTCACTGTTGAAAATTTGATAAATAGATTTTCCATGCATTCAACAACATTGGACAGTGATAAGTGCCAAATCAGTTACAAAGGTTTTATAAAAAGATTTGTTGAACTAATGACATTATCAGTTACCATTATAAAAATACATCGTTTATAATCAAGATTGGTTCTAAACAATGGGGAATTGAAATGTAAACAATTTTAACAACATTGAAAAAAAAGTATAAAATAATTGAGAGCTAATATCTTTCATTGATGAAATCATATTTTAAAAGGGATGTCTTAAAGACTAATTAAATAAAGATTTGGTGTAACATTCTTTCTTCATTTTAAAATCTTCTTTCTCATACGTGAAATTATGACGACCATACACAGTCCTATTTATTCACTCCACATGAAATTCGATCAGACAAGACCCAAACGTCTTCAATTAAGATCTCCCAGTGTTTCATTAATTAGCCTCAGGATGATTTTGTTTGGAACCTGGCCCATAATTTCAACCAATAGTAACTCCATAATTATAGTCACTAATACTTGCAATGCAGATTTCGTGTTTCAGGATATTGTCTTGCCCCCTTCCATTACGAAGCATTGTTTTCTTTTTTGGTTATGTATAGGTTCGGTAAATCGTCGTCATCTTCGAAGTTTTGATATGTTGTGGAAGTTCGTCCACTGGTTCTTTTTTTTCTTCCCAATTGCATTCCTGCATTGGTTCATTTTCTTCTGCTGTAAAAAATAGAGCGAAAGAGGGAGTTTCTCTTCGTATATTTGCTTAATATACATGTCTTTATGGACACTTATGCAACTGTAGTCTCTTATGTAACAAATGAAGTCATTAACTGATCCTTTCGGTGGTTATGTAAGAGGGAAAAAAGTAATCTTTTCCGTCTTTGGTCATATCATTCATTGTTGCGTCTTTTTTGTGTTCATTTTCCAGGTTCCTCTTCCCTCCTTAATTCACACTTAAACTCCACTGCGTCATATACCAATTTTCTGGTAAGCTTCTTCGCATTTTGGTCGACAATTTTGCTTCGCCTCATTTCTTTCGCTTCTTCTTTCCGTGTCGTTTGTTCTTGTCTGTGATGTTCAATTTTCATTCTGAGGACTGATAGACAATTTCCACCTTTATCTTGATTTTTTTTAATGTTCTGTTGATCTGTGTTTGATCAACATTCGTTATCTTCACTTTAAAAAAAAAGAAAAAGATTAACGATAACACACTGGCTGACACGTAGCCTGTGACGAAAAGGTGTCATTAAAGTTCGGGGAATAAAACATTTGTCGTATATACAGTTATCAGTACAACCTTAATTAGAATATTTTCAATGAGATATGTTTTGACGATCCCTGTTCCGTAATCAAGTGTTCCATTTCTAAATAAAGTGCAGAAAATCGTACAACCTCCGATATTTGAAAATCAGAAATAATTTGTATTTTGAATGAGAGCAATCTCACGGGTAAAAAAATTATTTCAAAACTTTGGAAAATCTTATTTACAAATCTTCATACGTCGTATATGGAATTGAATGCAATCTTATTCATGTTGAGGAAACCAAGGGTGTACTCAACAAGAGAATGTTTAGACACCGCTTCAAAAGAAATAATGGGGATGATCAACATCTTCATGAAAAATTGTAATCCTCCATCCATTCTATTCTTGTAGTAATTGACAGAATTTTATCAAATGAAATCACCATTTTATAAAAAAAAAAAAAAAACCTACATTAAGTACTCCATTCGTAGACAAGAAGAATAAAGGATCAGGAAACTAGGCACTTCTTTTTCATATGGTAACAACGACCACATCAATATATAATGTAGGCAATCTTTACATGTAGTCCCACAGTGTGCCAATGTGAATGTATCAAGACTTTTTGACTAGGGATGGCAATTTCACTAGATAGCCCATTCGAACAATCGGGGGCTTTAGTCGAACGAAAATTGAGTACTCGATAAAATAATTCTTCTCATGTCAATTTACCTATATTTCCTTTTTACAAACTGTTTGCACACTTGCTATTCAAATCAAGCTGCCGCCACATACAACGTAATTCTCACTGAAATATGTGGATAAGAAACAGTGATCAATATAAAAAAAACATACAAATCCGTAAACAGGGCATAAAATACAGATCCCTGGAAATTCAAAAGGTGGGATCAGGTGCCTAGGAGGAGTAAACATCCTCTGTTAACCGGTCATGCCAGCCGTGAACCCATTTATTGATCACATAGACGGCGTAGTCCATAGTCAAATTTAGTATAAACAGCTTTGATGCAGCATTGTTGGTCGGTCGATGACACATGAAAAGTTTATAAGCTTCCATGAGTATAAAATGTTTTATATAGCAAATCAAAATCAAAGTTTTAGCCGCATTTGTAGCATCCTAGCTATAGTTGAGGATATATTGATTCACATGTGTTCGTGGCCGATGCTGAATAAAATGCACAAGCTGCACACTTGTTATAAGTCAGATATTTTATTAATATTGGTTTTCTTTAAATGCAAGCGGCATGAAAGTAATTACAGAGGGGGGTCTAATGAACTTTAAAATAATGTCAGAGGACATCAGGGGCTAGACAGGGGCAAGGTCAGGGGACGTCAGGGAGTAGACAGGGTAGTCAGGGACAACGACAGGGGATCATAGGAGGAAGTCAGAGGGAGACGGGAAAATGTCAGGGACTGACAGGGGAACGGCAGGTTTTTTTTTTTTTTTTTTTTTTTTTTTTTTTTTGTTTTGTTTTGTTTTGTTTGTTTGTTTGTTTGTTTTTTTAATCTAAGTGGAAAATCATTACAGTAGTATAAATAGTAAATAATTTTTTTTATGTTTGAAGACTTATGGTAAATAGTACCAACTAATTATTTAATTATTATATTGTTATCTGACCGTTTTATCCGTTACCTGGTGATTCGAAAAGCCCATTAGTGAGTGACCCACAATACACTAAAAAAAAGGTGGTATAGTATAACTTTAATTGAGGTCGCTATATCGAAAATCGATTCGCCTTGTAATGCAGATCTGATTTTTTTTTTAGATCAACTGATTTCCCTTTCATACCAACCAACCAGATATTAACTCTGTTAAATCAAATCGTTTGCAGTCAAAATGTAAAAGGTGGTTCGGAATACCCTAAATGACTGTAATGTTTAGAATACTTTCATTGATTACAAATTATGTAATATAGTGTGCACAGATTGCAATTTACTCTATTTTATATTAAATGGTAGATCAGTCTAAGTACCTTGAAATTAGTAGAGAGAATGTGGATTTTTATGAAATCTACTAGCCATTATGCTGTGAGATTAATATGCATGGAAAAAAGCACTTGTTAGTTAAGTAGCAATTGACTGATGATTTAAAGGCCAACAATTGGGTATAAAAGCAACCAATCGGTGAAAATGGTGGAAGTTATGAATTTTCTGGTCACATTCAGATTGCAGCACTTATTTTGCAAAAATCAAGATTAAGCTATTTTATTATCATTTCAAAATTGTTATACCAGTTCCTCTCATCACTGGGCATTTATTTGTCAGACTTATTTTAAATAAAAATACTTTTTAAATTTTAATTTTGGCTTCAAAAAATTGAAGCAGGGCTGATTTTGTATTTCAAACTAGAGATTGGCAGTTTGTGGGCGTGATTTCTATTTGTTATTGTTTACACCGGACGTTGACTCACTCACATTGCAAAGCCATGTCTATCTAGTTACGGCGCCAAAATGAACCAATAATGTGTATTGGTACATGTTATTCTCTGTTAAAAGGAATAAAATATTTAGATTTACTCACATTTATTAGTAAATCCAATGTATTTCAATTTGTTCCATTTAATATGAATGGTGAATATGAAAAATAATTCCCGCAATCACAATACTGCCCAGTCTGAGTGAGAGAAAACTCAGTTTAGGTAACCATCCCTAGTGTTAGTCTTGAAATAACTCATCCCTCTGATCCAAAACAAATATTTTCACTCCAAAGTGTTCATTACATTATGTCAAAACTGAAAGCCCAGTAATATTACATGTAGAATGTCTCCTGAATAATCCTTCGATACACATGTTGTTCTTCAGTTTCATTGCACTCTGAGTCTGACCTGCTCAGCATTGAAAGGTACAGAAAGGATCATCTTAATAAATATTGAATTAGTTAAACAAGGCATAACTATTGAATTTATATAAAAACTATAATTACAAACTTTCAAATATAATGATGAGTACAATAAATTCTATTGTTTATATAGCGAGTTATTGTTAACGTGATTATAAAAACCCTTTCTGTGCCTCCTAGGCAGAGCACATTGGTAGAAAAATGCGGGAAAACATCCCCGAATCATCACCTTGAACTTCTGAATCAGTAATATTACTCCCACAGGTGGCCCATGTATGGAATGTTGTCAGGATTGGGAAACCAGCCTCTCACACATTTTATTACACAATCTGGCATTATGTCTCTGCGATGCCACACTAAATTCCTGAATCTTGGGTCTTGTTCTAATGCCCTTCTTTTTTTCTCAACATATCTAGGGTGATTCCAGATATCTCTATGATACATCATAGTCCAAAATCTTTTGTACATTTCTTTATATAAATTTCTGTTTCTTCTATGTTTTGGGTGAGGGTCAGCTTCCCACCACATCTGCCTATTTACTTCATCAGTGATACATGGTCTACAGAAACAACATATACACTCTGAACTATTAGGATCCTGTTGAATTCTGAAAGGTTCATTTACGAACTCATTGTTGTCATTTATTTCTTCTTCATGTTCTGGTGAATCGGTCTGGGTCTCACTAAAGAGTTACTATCTGAAATTACGGCTGAATCAAAATCCAAATCAAAGTGATGGAAAACACCTCTTATATTTTCTAACTGATCATCACTCAATTCCATTAAAACCTGCCGCTTGCTTGCCATTTTTAGATTTCAGATACTGTCAAAGTTTTTCGCGCGAAAATGTCAAGTTACTCTGATTTAATGCCCATTAGCAACTTTAGCCAGTGCAGATGCCATATAGTAATCAATAAATTAGTAAATAAATATAAATATTACATGTTAAATGTCATTTTTTGAAATTCCCCTGTTTTCCCCAGTTCTAAACCATTTCATGGAGGACAAATATCACTGTTTTTTTTTTATTTAAATAAAGTTATATTACGCCAATTTCTCCACCAAAGATCGCTCCATAAAATGTCACTTGGGTTCAGAGTTAATATTGAATTTTTTTTTCAGCAGCAGGATGTTTCATTTTCTTTGGTAGTGGGGTTTAAATCTTTTCCAAAAATTAAAGGTTACTTACTTAGAATTTTTTAAATAAATTAATAACAAATCTTTTGACATTTATTGAACTTTATTTGCTCTACTTTTCAATGAATTAGATCCATAATAAAACTAGAAAAATCATTTAATTTTTTCAACTTGAAATCCCCTTGCACCAATTGAAGTTGGGCTTATTGCTAGCATTCAATGATCTCTAAAGTTTCTGAATTATTACTGATCATACAATATGGATTCTACAACCAAAAAACGTCCACCTTCATTTAAAATATCAATTCCTGGAGATGACCAACAAAAAAATGAAATACTTTCTCTTCTTCATAAAGCAAGAGATATTTTAGTGAGACAGCTGAATCATCCTGTAAATAATGCAGAGATCCTAGAAAAGGTTTTGAAAACATTCTTAGAGAAATATGACAGAGAAGATGAAGAAGCAAATGTGGCTATGGCGAGCTTGGACTTGAACACATACATTCAGGTACAGGAAAAGGATTCTAACCAGAAAATTTTCCTTACTGCAGAATCATCAATAAGACGTTTAGTAAAAGTGGTGGAAAATCATTCCAAATTCTGTAATGGTGATCTTTCATTAAAAAAGATTACCGAAAAGGGATATGTTGCTGCAGCAAGATTTAATTGTAGAATTCAAAAACATCATAGCCTTTTGTGGTCTTCATCACCATACTTACCAAATAATGAATATTTGGTGAATAAAAGAGTTATTCATGGATTTGCTTGTAGTGGAATGTTGCCTGTTCATTACGTCAGATTTTCAAAGGGAGCTAAAATTGGTACCATCAACCAAAGTAATCGTGACAAATGCTTACAGAATATCTATCCATTTATTGAATCAGAATATGAAGACAGTATTAACATGGCGCTTTGGGGAGAAGTAGGATGCAGCGATGATGACGGAATTAACATCATGACAGATGCTCGGCATGGATGGCGAAAAAATGCCAAAGACTCAAGTGTTGTGGCGTTAGGAGAGAAAACACACCAGGTAATAAAGTGTGAACATGTCACCAAAGCAGACGATCCAGTATCTCAAAGACACGAGAAACTTGGAACGGAGAGAATTTACAACTATCTTGATGAGCATGTTGTTTCAGTTGATGTTCATATCCATGATCGAAATATCTCCATCAATAAATTTGTTCTAGAATTAGGAGGAACAACGAATCAAAATGATACCTGGCATGGAGTTAAAAGTATTAAAGAGAAAATGAAAAAAATTTCAAGTGGACCAGCATATCAGAAGGGGAAAACTTGGTCTGAATATCTATCTGATGTTGAACCAGTTGCCACTCACTGCCACTGGGCAATTAGAAACTGCGATCAAAATCCCCAAAAATTACAAGATCTCCTTTTGAATATCATTGAACATTATAAAGGAAATCATTCTGATTGTCATCCTACATCACGGTGCAAAACAGATCCAAATTATGAGCCATCAAGACTTGTAATATGTGATAAAGTGTCAGAAAAATTGTTACGTGGTGTAATAACTAGTTCAAAGGACAAGGTATGGTAACGGCCGAATCTGGCCCCTTATTTGATGTAAAAATCAGAACACAGTTAAAATTGTGATAGTTTGTAGTTAAGAACTTAAAATGATGCTTGTTTGAAAACCAGCACTAATTTTGATTCAAAGCTTACATGGATGCCACAAGAGGGTGCAGAAGTAGGACATTTTCACGAATTTCCTCAATTTTGGTGGAATTTCGTCAAATTTGAGATACTTTTCACTTCGGGAAACATAGAGCACAAGCTTGCCTATCTGAGATTTTTATACATATGATGCATCTGATACTAGTGTATGAAATATATAAAGGATTTGGTAGATAGGCAAGCTTGTGCTCTATGTTTTCTGAAACAAAATGTACAGAAAAATCGATGAAAATTTGCATAAAAATGAGAAAATTCGGAAATTGTCATATTTTCAGACCTTCCTGTGACCTTTGTGTATTCCATAACTTAAAACCAATACTCATTTTGTGGCAGGGGTAACAACAGGTTTCTATTGATAAACTGTTGCATCATTCTAAAAGACATTCCAAACCAGGGGCCAAAAAGGGGTCTTAGCCTATCTTGTCCTTTGTATAGATACCCACAGGATTATGTACTTGCAAAGGATACATAATAGAGAGGTTGAGATTTTTTACGCGTACGTGTACGTGTACTTGTAGTAGGTGAATCCCCTAAAATATGGTGTATTACGTCATCAATTCTCGAGTACGTTTGCTTTCTACACGTTCGGCAGAACTTGTAGGGCGGCATCTACACGTAAGTACAAACTTGTAGATTTTTCTTAAATATATAAACAATTCCTGATTGATAAAGGTATTTAATTTACAAATTTAACATAGTCAGTGTATTTTGGGAATGTTTCATATCTGATTGTGCATAAAACAGCGCCGAAATCAAAATATAAACCTTGAACGACCATTGACAGCTCTGTGAATTTAATGTAAATATTTTAGATAGATCGTGCGCCTTCAATTCAAACGGTTGTAATCTATTGTCGCCTTAGAATTTGTTCATTTGTTGATTTTTTACTGAACATTTAACATTCTAGTGTAAGTGTGACTGTGTGACATTGGGATCACTTTTCGGGGGGGGGGGGGGAGGGGGGGGAGACTCTTTACGAATGAAGTGCGCATTGTGTGTCTATTAGATTTTGCTTGTTACAACCTGATATTTTCTGAATTTTCAAGGCATTTATGTTTGTACTTTTTGGTGAACATTTACAACCATAATTGACACAGACTATATTAAAAATACATGTACAAGCACAGGGGGCTCGTGTTACCAGACCTAGCGCCTAACGTTGTAACATGTGTCATGTCATCTCATAAGAAATATTTTTTTTTTACATCATTATATTGTGTTAAACGTTATGAACTACAGTATTTATAATTTGTATGTATAGTAAGCATTCGGATGGCTCTGGATTTATAAAAATATAAAGTTGTTTTTATAAAAATACTAGTATACAGTTGTAACACCAATACAAAAATCAACCAGAACACGTTATTCACCACTCGTTTTTAAATGCATATTTATTATTTAGAATAGTAAACTGAAAGGAATCAAAATTTATATAATACATTCTCGAAGTGCACGTAAAGCACAATTTTTTTCTTTTAATCAGATCGATATAGGTAAACTGGTCCCTACACTGGCTACATACTAATAATGGACAGGAAAAAACAAGTCCGATTTTCTGATCAACATGACATCAAACTGCTAAGGTAAAAATATGTACAGTTCAAAGTACCGGTAATTGCAAAGCGAGAAAAGTTTAAAATAGACCACAAATCGACAAGTTGAAAATTATTCGATTTCATAATATTTGCAGGATTATTATTCCAAATCATATTGTTTAATTTATACAGAGAAGTCCTATCCAAAAATCCCTTTGAAGAAAAGTCAAAATGGACTGAAATAGCCAATAAAATGCCGATGGATGTTGATAATAGGCGGGTTCGCGAACAAACTCTTTTACTTATTGAACAACGACGGAAACACAATAAGATTTCCCTAAAAAAGTATGTTTAATAGTTTGGCAACTTTATTTTAAAATATTTTCATCAAAATAGGAATCAATTGGCTATTGTCTTTATTATTATTATCATTATTTTTTTTTTTTTTTTTTTTTTTTTTTTTTTTGTTAATTTATCAAATAAAGAGCTAGGTTCACTTTATGCATAAAATGGCCCTATCCTTATATCAATTAATTGACTATCACCCTCTGTCCCATTTCATATATCAAAATAAAGTAGAGACTTAGTGCTTTCATTTCCTATAACAAAATTTCTTTTTGAGAATCCAGGTATTGGAAAACAGACTTTGAGAAAATGCAATGTTCTTGAATTTTGCAGAAAACATGCGTATTTGACTACCTTCAGCAAAGAATTAAAATATGAGCACAGCCCACGATCCAAAAATTAAAACATGTTTTGTGATCTTCAGAAACAGATCTTTCATTATGTAATTGCATATTTTGGATCAGAGGTTGTGCTCTATATGAAATATTGAAAAAATACCTCAACTTTTTGCCATTTTTAAGGGATTTTACAGGATATGGGAAAAAATGACGCATTTCATGACGTCATAATGCATTGACTAGAGAAAAAATTACGTCATGTTCAATAGGTACACGATCACCAAGGGTCCAAGTTATAAATACTGCATTTTCAACCAAAACTGAGCAGTTTCGATTTTTCAGAAATTCTCAGGGCCAAAAAAGACCCTAAGTGGCTCTTGCTCTTTCTAATGCAGGTCTGGAGTAGATGAAGAGTACGGGGAGAAAGAGAATCTCATGGATGAAGCATTAGAATTATTTAATGAGGAGGAACAGAAGAAGAAGACTCTGAAAACAAAAGCGGAAAAGGAAGAAACGATCGGGAAAGACATTCGAAAACGGGCCCCTGAGAACTTAACACCTACAAAAAGCGGTAATGAATTGTTTAAGTAAATAACATAGTCTCAATAAGGCTTAATTGTTATTTGTATCTGTGGTCCCCATTACTTTGGGAATTTTGAACCTTTGTTTTAAATCTTAAATAAGAATAAAATTATAAGAGTCAACATCTGAAAATGTAAAATATAAATAAGGCCTTCCTGTAACCTATCTTTTTTTCCCCATTCAGATTAAAAGGTTGTATAAATGTGTGGGTTTTTTTTTGGTGTATTGTGTAATTCATTGAACATTTTTAATTTTTTTTTTCTCCAGTAAATATTTGTTTATTCCAAAAAAGAAAAAAAAACTACAGCAGAAAATATGTGTGCGAAAACACAGGCACTTGACGTTTTAAATCTTTCTCTTTACTGATAAAAATATCTGCATACTATATTAATAAGTATGGGGATATTTTTATCAATAAAGAGAAAGATTTAAAACGTCAGGTGCCTGTGTGCGAAAATGTCTATAAACAGCGAAACTGAACACCCCCCCCCCCCAAAAAAAAAGTCAAAAAATAATAATAAATAAATCCTACGTGAAGTAAAAGAATATAATTAAGAAAAGACCTTCTTTCACACAAAATAATAAACAATGTTTTCTTGTACGATATTAAAATTACTTAATTTGTCAATCTATATAACACTCCGCAGTCGTATAGACTGAGTTTATGTATCTTCTTTTTATAATATGTAATTTAAGTACAGCCACCCTTTTTAAATAAAGAAAACGCAGTTAAGCGGGGGGGGGGGGGGGGGGCTTGTGGTCTTGAGCTTTTAAACGTGATAGATGTAAAAACAGGCTTCTAATTTGTACGTTAATTTTTTCATAATTAAATTAAAACTCCGTTTTACCTAATGAAAGCATACTTAATACCGTCTACACTAGTCTACTAATATTTAACCGTAGAATTGGGTATTAAAAAGGAACCACTGTACTGCATTATGTTAGTGAAGCTTAAGTACATTAATCTTTCCCCAGTACATTTTCAATGCACGGTGATACAGTGACATTCCTTACACAAAAAGATGAAATTTCGCTGCATAATGTCGGTTTATTCCCAAAGCAACAACCACTGGATTTCTCATTTTTAGAACTGAATTTAATGGGGCACCTTTGCTTTTTACTATTTAATCATAATCAAAACTTGTTTCAGAGGAAGACCTCAGAAAAATGCCGAGAAAATCTTCCGTTGTCACTTATTTAAAGGAAAAGACGGAAGCAGAAATAGCAACGAAACAAGAGGAACTTGCATTGAAAAAGGAAGAATTAAAACTTGAGAGGGATAGGTTCGAACTAGAAAGACAAGAGAGGGTACAGAGACTTGAAAATGAGAAGCAGCACAATAAAATGATGATGGAGCTTCTAGCGAAATGTTTAAATAAATGACATTGATAATATATAATGACAAATCGTTTCTTTAACACAATAAATAAATAAATTTATTTTTTAAAAGATTAACAGTTTATTTTTCAGTTAAATACAAACGACATTCAATTTCATTGTTTGCTTTTCATTGATTTCATTGGTTAATTCTTTAAGACATATACTCCTCAAGAGTTGGAGGTTGCAGGCTGAAGTAATCACGTGTGACGCTTCCATATAAACAAGTATGGCAGTTTGTGAGAAGTGTCGCAACAAGGTAGTATTTAGCGACTGGTTGAAGAAAAGGTTTCTGGTTTTTTCTGTAGTCGACAAATGAAAATAACGAGAGAATTTTACCAAAACTTCATTCGACACTTGACCGTAACTTTGACATACGTTTGTTGAAAACCAACCGCTGCTCAGTTAGTACTGCTCCACGAAAGGGGCCATCAAGTGTGGTCTGAGAGGGTATGCTGGGTCGCCATACAGGGAAAATATCGTAACGTCGGGGAGAGTCATGTTTTCTTCTAACATTGGCATTAATCCACTCATTCTAAGCATAGCCGCATCATGGTGTTTTGCTTCGACAGGCCCATACATGTGAATTATCAATCCGTTCGGAATTGTAATTGACTGAAATTTAAGTCCATGTAAGCGTTTGTGGCCACTATAAACAACTTTCTGATGTTTCAATGGTCTGCAAATTGGTCTCACTGTACCATCTATGAATCCCCAACAATGGGATAAACGTGAACCAATGTCAGAAATAGCTTCAGCGTACTCACGTAGTTTCATTTCGCTCAATAAGAGTTGATCAAATTCCCTCAACTTGAATGCAGGTTTGTCAAAAATGAAATTCAGAACAGTGTTAACGATGTAGGAAATTTCAGATTTTGAACTACCAAATAAAGGCACCATATCGTCGAGCCGATTTGGGTAAGCTAGGCGACGTAGTAATATGAACAAACCTTCTGTTCCAGATGTTCTAGTACCGTTGGGACAAACAAAGTGAGATGGAATCTGTAAAGCATGACAAAGACGGTGTATGTCGTCCCTTTTGAATCGAAAATATGAAATAAATTGATCTTCGGTAAAATCTTCTACACGAAGAGATGGTACGTTTTCATGGCCTTCACAACATGTGGAAAGCAAAAGCAAATCATCATCCCCCGTTATACAGGATCAGCTATATTTTCCATTTTGTGAGAAAAAACGTCATGATGTTGCGTAAATAACGTCACAATGATTTTTAACACGTGCGTGCTACACGTAATAAATCTCAACCGTATTTCTCACCTTACGTGTACGTGTACTTGTAAGTATTTTATTACACGTACGCGTACCCGTACACGTAAGCAATCTCAACCCCTCTATTATGTAGAAAGTTTCAACAATACTATGAACATGTTTCAGGACAAAAGAATTGCATTTAGTGACAAGGGATACAGAGCGCGATCAAATCTAGCAGTCTGTCATTGGAACGAAAATGTGGACGGAGAGTTCACCTCTGTATGGAATCCACCCAGAGCAAATGCTCCAAGAAGTAGAAAAGGAAAAAAAGATCTACAAACCCCTTACATTCAACTACAGAGAAAACATCTGGAAAAGACAAATATCTGCACTTTTCACTTAAAGTTGAATCATAAATGTCTTCAAATAAGTAATTTATAAAATATACAGTGAAACAGATATTAATTATAAATATTTTAAAAAAATCTTGTAAGTTCAAGCAGTTTTTTTTAAATTCAGGATTATTTAGTAGATTGAGCCCTCTAAGCAAAGTGATTCTTTACACTGAAAGAAGAATATCGTCTGCTAGAGTGCACGTGTAGATTGTAGCATGTGGTAATGTTTGTGTGACTGATAACAATTCTAAATTTAAACTGCAGAGGAGTGAGCCATGCCTCCTTGCCATATATGCTTAATTGCCGTCGAGGTGTAAAATTTTCTAGGTCACTACCGGCCTTTTTAAGCAGGGGTGCTCCCGGCGTGCGTCCCCACTAAAACAGAAAAAAATATATATCACATAATACATCGATGTAATAATCGATGCAATAAAGGTAGAATAGCAGCCATTTACGTGTAAGGTCTTCTAATTGCCAATTTTCACACGCTCACGGGGGAAGAACTCTAGGGTCCTCACCGGACTTTGTACTTGATTTTCTTTGGACCTCGACTGTACCCAGACCCCATGCCTTCTAATATAATCCCCTCCTCCTCTAACACCATTAAGATCCTGGGTTTGCGCCAGTGGTTAAGTGGTATGTGATTGTGGTTAAGTGGTATGTGGTTGGCAGAGTATTGAAAACCCATATTTAATTGACAAATTATTAATAAAGTACGGTTTACCTCAACTTTTGGCCTGATTTTTCACTGAGTTCTTCCGCGGTGCATGGATTTTTGAATTCAATGAAGGCATCAATTATCCCAACTTTGTGACCAAAAGCAAACACAAGAGTGCTCAGTCCATCTCTCACAATTTGCTCTAAATCCCGACTAGAACCAGACGCCATTCTTTACGTGTAAATTGTAACAGCACTGTTGTACGGTGTGCTATTCGAGTCATGATATTTTCTAATGTGAAAAAGTTGTCCGCGACTTTGAATTTTAAATAATGCTGATCAAAGTATTTATCAAAAAAATATATTTATATCATGCCGTGTTTGCAGTCTAATAATTAAATCATTCGATACCAGAATTCAACTTTCCCCATGGTTCACCATACTTTTCTTTAAAAGAATAAACTTTAAGGTTATTATAACTAGGACTTGCAATTGTCTACAGAAATCTCATACTCAAAACCAAAATGTATTTCTGCACGTGGTTGGTATTTTCTTATCATTTCTATTAAACGAAGTTGTAATTTATTTATGGTTACGTCTTATTCATGTGTTTCTATGAAAACCTACTTAAATCAAACTACAGGAATTATTTAATTGATATAAGTTACAACACAAAGGAAAATGAATAAAATGCCATAAAAGAGGCACATGGACACCTCGTTCGCCTGCATACTTTGGTTAGAGAAAAATAGAAACCAGTCCAGTACTGAAAAGTTTAAATATATTTATGTGGTACCAACTAACACCACCCAACCCCCTTCCCTTGGGGGGGGGGGATGATTTGAACAAACTTGTTTCTATACATCAATTTTATCACTAATCATAGCTTTACTGTTCTTGAGAAAAAAATCCTATATATCCCCATGTAATACATTGATTGCTTAATGTGGCCTAAACCTACATCCAGGGGTCATGATTTAAACAAACTTGAATATACACTATCTGAAGATACCTCTGTATTAATATGGCTAGTCATGGCTCTGCTGTTCTTGAGAAGACAATTTTAAAGACATTTCCTATATATTCCTATGTATAACTTTGATCCACCGGTGGTCATTATTTAAACAAACTGTAATCAACCTGATAATGCTTCTATATTATTATGATTAATCATGGCTTTGCTGTTCTTCTTCAGAAAATTTTTAAATACTTTTCCTACATATTCTAATGTAAAAAACTTTTATCCCCTATTGTGGCTCCATCCTTCCCCCGGGGGTCGCAATTTGTACACTACCTGAGAATGTTTCTATATTAATGACTAATCATGACTTTGCTGTTCTTGAGAATAAGATTTATGAAGATATTTCCTTTATATTCCTGATTAAAAAATTTATCCCCAGTTGTGGCCCCACCCCAACCCCAGATGTTATAATTCCAATAAACAATACTCTAGCGCCCAGTGATACATCGAATCTCTAGGTCTGGCCACCTATACTTCATAGTGTTCGAATATATGTAGGTTAAAATATTTCAAAATGAATAACCGTAAAATTAAAAAGAAACTATGTAATATTTTTAAGTAAACTTATTGAATGGCTCCAAAAAGAATAAACTGGAAAGATTTGATGATTCTTGGCCTCTTAGTATTCAAAATATATAGCTAGAAAGACTTTAAACTTAGCAGCCTTCAAGTTCATAAATTAGGTTTTTTCTGTGACATACTAGTATTTCCGCTGAAACACTTTGAAGCCCCAAGTGTATGGCCTTATAAGGTTTGATGATCAAAGGTTCCGTTTTTTCCAAGACATCCATCTAAAACTGTTTAAAAATGCATAGCTGCAAAATACAAAAAGGAAACGCCACATTTACCAAATTTTCGGTTAACATATCCTGAGGTCCCAAAGAAATTTATCTGCCAAGGTTTAGACCCTACATCGGATTGCTTTTAATATATGTAGGTTAAGGAATCTCTGAACACTGTTCACAAAAAGAGTTCTAATTCCATGGTAGTTTTATGCATTTAACATTATCTGCCCTTTGATGTAAAATGGAAATCTACATTAAATAACACAATTCAAAATAGATTAAATTAGTCAAATTCAAATTCTGGGGATCAAGATTTCAAACCTAACTAAAAATTTTGATTACATTATTTTCATGTATATTACAAATTAAGTAGACAACAGTTAATTCTGTAAATCAATACTTCATTATCCTTGAACATTTTTTCCCAGAGAAGTTTGGCTGGTGCCTTTTGTTGAAAATAAGCATTATAAACTACACATGTACACCTTTATATGTCACCTCTTACAGTCAATATTTCGCGAATTCTATTTTCAGATACAATGACCTTGTCAGCAAATACAATCTAGCACCATGCCGAATGTTGACTGACGGTTTTCATATTTAGGCCATTAATTTCACACTGAATTGTCTACGGATTTTTCCGTTTGCCCGATCACGACAAGGAGCACACGGCGGTTGTGACTGGTTGACATGGGATGCATATTCCTCCATGGCACCTGATCCTACCTCTCGCGTTCTAAGAAGTCCGTGTTTGCTCTGCTCCAAATTTGTATTATTGTTTCAATGGACTTTTGATTACTGTTCGTTATCTGCATAATTCATGATATACTTTTCACAAAGTCCAAAAAAAAATTTTCATTAGTATTCAGAGCTTTCTTAACCTATTTTAAACGTGTATATAAACATGTAGTTTTAAAAACATGTCATGTTTGGTCATTTAAGTGACCTTAAAACCATGTCCTTCAGAAAGGGTAAAGCCTTGAACAAATTAAATCTATGGTCTCCTGTTTACGCTTAGTGGTAATCTTTATCGACCTTTGAGGTTTGTAGAAACTTCTACTTTTTAAAATATTTTCTACGTTGATTTCACCTTAAGAGTTAGATTCTTTAATTTATAATGAAAGTTCTTGGTCAAAGAATATTTTGTGAAAAAGAGTGATAAAAATTGACCAAAATATTATGATACAAGGTACATCTTCACAAAAAAGTTTACATTAACCGCACAGATTATAAAATCATTATCTCCTTGACCCTTTAATCTGGCTAAGAAGAGCTACAAACCGGATAAAATATAGCTGCATAACTGTACCTCTCTGGTTGAGAAATTCGGACAGACAAGATAGAGAGCTAGATATGGGTGAATTAAAAAAAAAATGACCAAACGCATATTTATCAATCCACACTAAAAATACAGGCAATAAAAATAGATTTCTAAGTCTCAGCATATGTCTTTAGATAGTGTCTAAATACCTACCAAATATCTCGTTGATATCTCAATTAACAAAAATGTTATGCCCAAAAATGATGCTAAAATTGTCAGGAGTGCAACACCTTTTTGTGACATTTTGAAATTTCAATATTTTTTGGAGAACTGTGAAATAAAAAAACAATGCTTCGTGTTGAAAATAAAGACTTTCCTGATAATATTCAAAGTATTTAGCTTTAAATGTGGACTGTCATAACTTTTGTTTAATAAAGTTGTAGTCATGACTGATGTTTAAAAAAATGTTGTATCATGTCAGGAGTGCAACAGATAAAAATGTAGTGTTGCCAAAAAAACATCAATTGTAAAATTCTGATAGAAAATTAAGACAAAAAAGAATTTTGGAAGTGTAAAATAATAACTGATATACATTTTAAAACTTAAAAATGTTATATAAATCACAAGCAGCATTAATGAGAGTCAAGTACATGTGCATATCCAAAAATGTCAGGAGGCAAACATTTGATGTTTTGCTCCCAAGCATGAAAAAACTATTGTCATTATATAATTTTCTGATTTTTATTTTGGAAAATAAAGACACAAAGAACATTTTTACCAAATAGATTTATCAATTACAGGATCTGTCTGTGCTTCAGATCCATATTTCTATGGTCAGGAGTGCAACATATTTTTTTAAAGATTCAAGTTGTGTGTCGAAAAGACTTCTATTCATGCTTAGAGGTATTCATTAATTAATAATGATCTTTTTGTATAATTTAATGCTAAATTATTGATAGTTTTATTATTAAAATCCTTCCTTTTTCAATTTTATCAATTCGGATGTGTTTTTATCTTTTTTGTGATTTTTTTCAATGAACGTTAAAAATAAACACACTAAAACATTGTCATTAAATTCAAGTAATTCCTCCTCAACTTCACTGAAACAACAGAACAAGTTCTTATGTAATTTTCACTTCACAATTCTACTTTAAAGTCCCCAATGCTTTTGGTCAGGAGTGCAACAAAAATGTCAGAATTATAAATCATCCACTAAGAATAAAAATAAAGAAAAAATGATGAGTAGAATTTTTCTGGTGGGTTACTGTGTTTGTCCTCTAAAGAAAAATATGCTTTAAAATATATTTTATCTTCTAAATATACATTTAAGCTAGTTTTTTGGCATAAAATAGGGTATAATTCCAGATAAAATGCGAACTTTAAATACTATCATCTGTTTTAATTATGAAGTATTGGACTATAAGTATTGCACAATTTCATTACCACTTGATGTTGCCAACTCTTTATGAATTTTTGTGTTCTATGGTTTTAATTTTAAACTTTACTGCAGTCAGGAGTACAAAAAAACTGCTTTATAATTACTGATGCTTTTTAACTACCTTTACTAAAAAATAAGTTGAAAAAAATGCTTGATACTATTTGATGTTCAAAACACTATGTCTATCAACAAATTAGAAAAATTTTACAATCAATTCAGGGAATAGTTTTCATCATTTCACATATATTTTGAATAAAATTTATATATATTACACTTTGCAAATAATCATGTTTTAAGGTGTCTTCAAAATATGAAAAACCTGCTGTAAACGATGAAAAATATCAACACGACAGATTGATTCACAAAGTAAGAATGGGTTATTGTGTGTTATAATTTTTAAAACAATGTTAAATAAAATACATATCAGATGTCAGGAGTGCAACACAATAATGTAACATAGGGTCACTTCAAAATCTAGTATTTTTTGTAAGAGAACTCGTATATAACAATTCTTTTTTGGCTTAGATTTAAAGAGTTGACTTGAATGGACAAAAAAGTGAATTTTGGGGAATTTTATTGCTTCATATTTTTTTCATATTTTTTTCAAATTAAAACTTTTCAAACCAGAATTGAAAAAATAATGTAAAATAACAATCAAAAAGCCAATTTTTTGTCACATGTAGAAGAGAAGATACTCATTCAAGCTCTAGATTTAATCATTTATACCCATTTTACCATTTTGAAGCATAAAAAACTATAATTTCTTGTGATTATGTATTTTAGAAAGTCTTTTAAGGTGTAATGATATTTTATTTTTTCAAAAGAAATTTTACTCATAGAAATTCTGAAACTTTTTAAACCAATTGTCTATTCTATTGCCACTTCAGGATTTTAAACTAGAATGCATTTGCAATATGATGATATAAGTGAAAAATATGTTATAAGTAGTTGAATTTTGCCAAAAAAATTCAGTTTGGTGGTCATTTTTTTTTAATTCACCCATATCAAAGAATTGTTAAAACCTTCAATTTACGCCGCCGCTGTTTTGTCGCTAGCTTCGGTTTTATTTTTTGTGTTATACATGTACATATATTCGTTCTCTCGCCAAAACGCATGGAATCCGTAAATTAACCAAACATTTTACTCAAAATCGTATTACTTTATTTACAAACAACCCTGAGCGGCCTTGAATTGTCAGTTTTAAAAATTCGCATTCCGACGTACTTGTTGGGGTCATAATAATTATACATATAACACACCCGAGTTTATATCTAATTTCATTTTATACTCACATTGCCTTCTTTTAAAGACAATATGGATAATATATATGGAGAAATGTGTCCCCCCTTTAAAAAATCTTTAAGATTTTCCCGGCATGTGCTTCCTTTGATAGACGTATTTAAAATCCGAAGCGAGCGACAAAAATAAAAAAAAGCTTCAGCGTAAATCGAAAGATTTTTACATTCTTGGACTTGTACTCATGTATTTTATCTGTCCGAATATTCTCAACCAGAAAACTACAGTTTTGAGGCTAGATAAAATACTAAAATATAATTCAGGAAAAACATTACGTTTTCTTTAAGTTTAGTAGTCTGTATTGCAAAAATATGGCAGTAATTTTGAAAAATCACTTTTGGAAAATAATGCCAGCTTGCACTGCTTCAGTATCTTTTTCGCCAATCTTTATCACTCGAAATCCATGTTCTTCTATTTCTTGTTTCTTGCGCTCGTAACCCCAGCCGACTCCGCGTCCTTCACCCGAAGGATCCGATAAACAGGCGGGAAGACAAGTAAAGAGACCAAAAGGAAAAAATAACTGTGCTGTAGGATTGTTAGCTTGCTTTTGGGGGTCTGAGGACACTGGGGGGTCGTACGTTATTCCATAACCATCTGGTTTTAGGACTCTCTTCGTCTCTTTAAGAATTCCTTTGACGTCGGACGCAACATGAAGTACTTCGTTCATTAAGACAAAATCAAACTTTTCACTCCAGTCCTGTGGGAGTTGTTCCCCTCTCATATGGGTATAGATGATGTTATTCTGGTCACAGTGTTTTAGATCTTCGATTGCTCGATCTATGGAGGATTTATCCGAGTCGATACCGTAAAACGTACAGTTAGGATACAGTTTAGCTGTCTCTCTTATATGCTGACCACAGCCACAACCAATATCTAACAGTGTAAATTCGGTCCCTGTGTTAAAGATAAGCATTAATATATTATTTTAAGCTTTTAGATTATTTACATAAACATAAATAAAAAATAACAATTATTTTAGAAACACACATTTATATTATATTGAATTCATTTTTAACCTTTTCTAAAGCTTAATATAGGAATGAGATGAATTTTGTTCCATTCTTGAAAAACTTCTGTTGTGCGGTATGTATCCATCCACGTGAGAAATGAATCAAAGTACCCGTAACCTGAAACAGAGAGTAAATCACAGGTTCAACCAAGTGCCTGTTACTCTTACAATTTAAAAAGAGTCACATAAAACATATTTACGTAATATACATGTTTAAGCACATCAAATTTGTTAAAGTTTATGTTTGATTGACTGTTAGTTAATGATTGATTGTTTATTTAATTTATTAACTCAAGCGAAATTTTACTCATATCAGAACGTTACCAACTTATGAGGTGCATCATTACACCAACGCTTTAACAGCTGAGCATTTAAGTTAAAGATAGTTATCAGATGGCTTAATACGACTGCTAAATTCATGTATCGGTTCTTTCACTTAGGACATCATGATTCCACGACATCTTGTTCTATGGACTAGTAAGCATACAGATCTTCTTGGTAGTAAATAAGTTTGTATAATGTACATGTAGATAAAGATAAACCTGGTAGAACAAAACTTAATGCTAAACATAGACAGGGTATATTCCTAACTACCTGTGTGTTCTAACGTTTCTCTCATCTCAAGATTTGTATTACTTTGAACAAAAAAGCTCGGTCACCATTTTCGTTGTCCATATCAAAATAAGTATGTAACAACTAGACATTAACCAGTGCACGCAATCGAATAGATACATGTTCTATCATGTTAAACAAAGTAAACATGCATGCATAGTTAATGTCCATATATGGTACGTCTTCAACAACATGACACACCTTTTGGTCCATCTTTTGTCATGACATTCTCCAGCTGAGGAAACATCTCGCTAAATACCGGGATCACGCTGGCAGCATGACCCCATCTCTTCAGGAGAGGTTTCTCGTATGGAAGTGAGTATTTGCCGTCCTCGTGAATTTTGACAATACCTGCCGAAATCATGCACCCAAGCCATTCTTGTGTGTACCTGATTGATAGCAAAAAATCGAATAAAATTTAAATCCATTGATGTCATATTCTTTAATTTTAATAAGCAACATAATTCAGACGCACAAAGATTACTCTTTTTTGTATGGATTAAGGTCGTGTTGAGAAAATCTAACTTTCTTCTTTTCGTTGTCCATTAATTCTCCTGACGTGGTATTACTATAATTGCATACATTTGATAGTTATTGCGACCTAGTAACAATGATGATGTAACACATTCACCCACCCAGGTGAGATCTGTGGCTAAATACTACGAATCGTGATCAGAGGCTTGTATATATGGGCTCGAGAAACTAAGATTAGTGGAGAGAAATATAGCGGACAAAGTCATGTTAGAGGTATATTTTTAGACCCTCTGAAAATTTCAAAAGGTGAAAGATGTATTATAATCCATGGTTTAGTAGCAAGTGGCTGATTTTGTTCGTACAATAGTGATTAAGTGATAATGTCGTCAGTAGCATGTGGTTCTCGGGTCTGTACATTCACGCACAGGTTGAACTCTAACTGAAAATTTTTTAAAAAATCAGTAAAGTATTGCCCACCTTAATTTTTGGCCTGATTTTTCACTGAGTTCTTCCGCGGTGCATGGATTTTTTAATTCAATGAAGGCCTCAATTATCCCAACTTTGTGACCAAAAGCAAACACAAGAGTGCTCAGTCCGTCTTTCACAATTTGCTCTAAATCCCGACAAGAACCAGACGCCATTGTTTGAAAGAGTAGGCCCTCGTAGACATGCAAATTGTGCAGTTAGCAATTCGTTGTATGGTGTCCTATTTGTGTCGTTGTGTCTTGGCTGAAAAAAATGCTTTAATCTGAAATTTTCATTTAAAAAGCCATGGTAAGTGGATACACCTTAAAATAAATTTTAAAAGAATAAGTATATCATGCCTACTTATTAGTTTGTGTTGTGTTTATGTGTATTTCAGGTTTTTATAATCATGGTGCCTACTTGTACTAAATATTCCATATTGTAGTATTGTTGTGTTTTTATCATCTTCACAACGTCAGGAGTCCAGTCGAGATCACAGGACCTCTGGCAAACTTCGTCCGATTTTTTATGGGCCATCTTCTCTCATTGAAAAGCTCCTATCATATTCGGGCTCTCGTAAGTTGACATAAGAAAAAAAAATAAACAGAAAGTAAACAGTTGACACCTCATTGCACGTGTTAAAAGCTGTTTGTCATCGAAAGGCTTAATGTGATTTTAAAAAATCATTTTTTTTATTTCCCTGAAAGACATCAGTCCGTAAAAAATCGAATAAAGTTTGTCAAGGGTTCCATGACCACAAGTCGAATCAGGACCCTTGAAGTTGTTAGGATGTGTTTTTGTGTGATTCAGGTTTATAGCGGTACCTACCTATTAAATCGTTGTTACTTGGTAAGTTAATTATGTTTATGTGTATTTCAGATATATTACGGTGCCTATATCTATATGTATTCCTTTTTGAAACGTTGCATATATTTGTACGTAAGATATGACTTCAGATATTCCATCGTCAACATTCCTTATTAATGTTGTAATATTCTGCTATCACTTGCATTTGCTGTTTATATTTCCCAACTTATTAGATACTTTAGATCAAAACCTGAGTACGATCAATATTTAAACCGAGGCAGGCTTCAGGCAGATAAGTTGAGGTTACACAGATTTCAAAAACCTCGTCTAAAGTCAGCATAATGACCTTGTTAGGAAATTTAACCTATCATTGGGTCAATTTTGTCTGACATATTTCATACTAATAGCTAGACCTTTGTTTTTATACTAAATTTCACTACGTATACGGAATATTCCGTCTACCTGATCAATAGATAGGGTCTTGAAGAAAATTAACCTTGGCCATGACCTTTTGACCTTAGAGTTTAACCTACTTTAACCTTGGCCATAACTTTCATACTTCCTATCCATGTGTAATCCATGGACACGACTTTCTCTGGATACAAATATTTTTGACCTTGGCATTTGAGCTTAACCTTCTTTTGAAAAACTTTAACATTGCTCATAACTTTTGAACGGTCAATGCTATGGCTGTCATATTTCACATGTGTATTCCTTGTGACAAGACCTTTCCTTGGATACCAACAACTTTGACCTGTGACCTTGGAGTTTGACTAACTTTTGAAAAATTTAATCTTGGTCATAAATTTTAAACGCTTGGTGCTAGAGCTTTCATACTTCACATCTGTAATCCTTGGTACAAGACCTTGACTTGAATACAAACAATTTTGACCTTTTAACGTTGACCTTGGAGTCTAACTTTTGAACGATTTATTTAAGAGAGCGCTTTCATCGAATTTCATCACATGATTATTTCATGTGACATGACCTTGCTTTGGGTACATTTTTTTTTTTTATCTTTTGGCGTTGGAGTTTGACCTACATTTGAAAACTTTCACCCTTGAACATAATTTCTGAATGGTTGCTGCACAGACTTTCATGTTTCACTGATGTATTCCTTGTTATAAGACCTATCTTTGGGTACCACAAAATTTTAATCTCTTGACCTTGGATTTTGACTTGCATTTGAGAAACTTCATCCATTGCCATGAGCTGCCATACGGGGGTATAGGTGTTTCAAAAGCATATTTAATTGTTAGAGTAAATAATATGATAATGATATGAGTCTTATTTGATAATTAGACTTGCTTAATCTTCGCTAGCCATGGGTTTCCAATCTAAAATCTCCCCTACAACTGCACTTTCTTTGCCCCACACACAAGAAATTTGCTAATGATATGAGAACCATTGCCTATATATCAGCGACTCCGTGTCTTGTGTCCCCGCCGACCATATACCCTTTGTTATTGAGGAAATTGTGAGAAAAGAATAAGAGCAGCTAGTATAGAGATTAAGTGATTATAATATCTGTGGTCTTTACAAAGCTTTTGATCAATATGTACATCCATTCTCCTTCAAAATTCCTTGACTTAGTAAAAACAAGAGGCCCAAGGGCCTTAACGGTCACCTGAGTATAATACAACAATTTAGAAGTTGAATACACTGATAGATGAAGCTTTGTTGCCCTAAAGCAAGAGAAGTAGGAAGATCAGGATCAACAAAATAATTAGTCTAGTATTCAGTATCAACTCATAAATTAAGTTCTAATCTGTCCCCCACTTAACACTATCACCATGCAGACTATTAACAAACTATTAGTGCTTCTGTACTATTTTTAAACCCATATTAAGACCTCTAGTATTGACCTCTCTTATGGTCTTTGAAGAACTTTTAATAAGATAAGTTATTTTTGTCTCATTTTTATTTATCTATTACTTACAGGTCTACCTGATTATTAAAACTAAGAAAATACTTTTTGAATTATATGATAAACATTCTTGCATAATTATCTTATTCTATTAACCTTTCAAATACATTATTTACAGTGATTAATTATCAAAGGTGAACGGAAAAGGGGAATAACTTCTCTCAGTAGAATACAAATTAATAGAGCCCTGCCCAAGACTAGAATGCTTAAACAAATGGTCCAGATGTTCAAAAATCTGGTAGAAATACGCTTACTTATATCATTTAAACTTTTACTCAGTTTTCTTCCAATATGCCCAGAAGCAGAGAAGAATTTCACAGGTACAATGCATTTTCACTACAGATTCAACAAAGCCTTACCCTAACACCAGAACCCAAGACAAAGGGTCAAAAAATTTAAAAGCCCGCCCCCCATTATGCCAGAACCCCTGACCCTAGGACCACAAGATTTAAAAATTCTGTTCAAAGCTCCCATTTTCATCATAGCTAAGCAATTTATTTATCAGCTCAACACTAAGGAGCAGACAGGATTAATTACTGATTAATTAATAGAATTAATGCTTTTTCACTATATAATCAATAGAGCCCCCCCCCCCTTTCCTCAAGAACCCCAAAAACTAAGGCCATATATTTAAAAATTTTGGAAGAGGCATCCTTGCCTATCATAATCTTGCACTTAGTTTGTTTAGATAATCTCCAGTAGCAGAGAAGAAGATTTTCAAAGAATTAATGCATTTTCACTATATAATCAATAGAGTGCTGCCCTAACACCAGAACCCCTGACCCTGGGGCCATGAAATTCACAATTTTTGAAAAGGCATCCTTATGCATCAAAACCATGCACTTAGTTTGTTTAAATAATCTCCAGTAGCAGAGAAGAAGATTTTCAAAGAATCAATGCATTTTCACTATATAATCAATAGAGCCCCACCCTAACACCAGAACCCCTGACCCTGGGGCCAAGAAATTCACAATTTTTGAAAAGGCATCCTTATGCATCATAACCATGCACTTTGTTTGTTTAAATAATACCCTGGAGCAGAGAAGATTTTCAAAGAATTAATGCATTTTCACTATATAATCAATAGAGCCCCGCCCTAACATCAGAACCCCTGACCCAGGGGCAATGGCTTTCACATTTGGAAGAGGCCCACCTCCTCATCATAACTATGTACTTAGTTTATCACCCTAATGCCCAGGAGCAGAGGAGAAGATTTTCAAAGAAATAATGCATTTTCACTGTATAGTCAATAGAGCCCCGCCCTAACACCAGAACCCCTGACCCTGGGGCCATGAAATTCACAATTTTGGAAGAGGCTCTCTTGCTCATCATAACTATGTACTTAGTTACTTTATTTAATACCCAGGAGCACAGAAGAAGATTTTCAAAGAAATAATGCACTTTTACTATATGATCTATATAGCCCCACCCTGGGGCCAGAACCCCTGACCCTGGGGCCATGAATTTCACAATTTCAGAAGAGGCATTCTTGCTCATCATAACTATGTACTTAGTTACTTTATTTAATACCCAGGAGCACAGAGGAGGATTTTCAAAGAAATAATGCACTTTCACTATATGATCTATATAGCCCCACCCTGGGGCCAGAACCCCTGACCCTGGGGCCATGAAATTCACAATTTCAGAAGAGGCATTCTTGCTCATCATAACTATGTACTTAGTTACTTTATTTAATACCCAGGAGCAGAGAAGAAGATTTTCAAAGAAATAATGCACTTTCACTATATGATCTATATAGCCCCACCCTGGGGCCAGAACCCCTGACCCTGGGGTCATGAATTTCACAATTTCGGAAGAGGCATTCTTGCTCATCATAACTATGTACTTAGTTACTTTATTTAATACCCAGGAGCACAGAAGAAGATTTTCAAAGAATTAATGCATTTTCACTATATAATCAATAGAGCCCCGCCCTAACACCAGAACCCCTGACCCAGGGGCCATGAATTTCACAATTTTGGAAGAGGCACTCTTGCTCTTCATAACTATGTACTTAGTTACTTTATTTAATACTCAGGAGCAGAGAAGAAGATTTTCAAAGAAATAATGCACTTTCACTATATGATCTATATAGCCCCACCCTGGGGTCATGAATTTCACAATTTCGGAAGAGGCATTCTTGCTCATCATAATTATGTACTTAGTTACTTTATTTACTACCCAGGAGCACAGAAGAAGATTTTCAAAGAATTAATGCATTTTCACTATATAATCAATAGAGCCCCGCCCTAACACCAGAACCCCTGACCCAGGGGCCATGAATTTCACAATTTTGGAAGAGGCACTCTTGCTCTTCATAACTATGTACTTAGTTACTTTATTTAATACTCAGGAGCAGAGAAGAAGATTTTCAAAGAAATAATGCACTTTCACTATATGATCTATATAGCCCCACCCTGGGCCAGAACCCCTGACCCTGGGGCCATGAATTTCACAATTTTGGTAGAGGCATTCTTGCTCATCATAACTATGTACTTAGTTACTTTATTTAATACCCAGGAGCACAGAAGAAGATTTTCAAAGAATTAATGCATTTTCACTATATAATCAATAGAGCCCCGCCCTAACACCAGAACCCCTGACCCAGGGGCCATGAATTTCACAATTTTGGAAGAGGCACTCTTGCTCTTCATAACTATGTACTTAGTTACTTTATTTAATACCCAGGAGCAGAGAAGAAGATTTTCAAAGAAATAATGCACTTTCACTATATGATCTATATAGCCCCACCCTGGGGCCAGAACCCCTGACCCTGGGGCCATGAATTTCACAATTTTGGTAGAGGGCTCAATGCTTGTTACAATGATGCCAACAGTTTGACTGCTTGATGTCCTGGAGTAAAGAAGAAGATTTTTAAAGATTGCATTATTTTTGGTGGTTTTAGCCCCACCCCTCAGGCCCCAGGGGGGCAGGGACCATGAAATTCACAATTTTTGTTCCCCTTCACCCATAGATGCTATATGCCAAATTTGGTTGAAATTGGTTGAGCGGTTTCAGAGAAGAAGCTAAAAATGTTCAAATGTTAACACACGACGCACGCCGACAGACGAGAACGGATAGCAATAGGTCACCTGAGTGACTCAGGTGACCTAAAAAACCCATTAAAATATGGAGGTCATAAGTTTGACAAGCTGCAGATCTGTATCCCACTGGTCTGAAAAAAAAATCGGCTTTTTTCATATGAGGTACCCATATCCAAGTTTTAAAGCTACATTATTTTAACGTTTCAACAAAAGATACTAGTGCAAAATTCTAATTATAGTCATGTACCTAAAGAAAAAAACCCTTTAAGTTGGGCTAAACGAGAGCTCTTTATTTTTAGTAAGTAGTTATAATCACTATTGTCTACTGAATACAATGACAAGAACTTCTTTCACTCCTTTATTCTTTGTGTATATGAAATTTAACTAAATGTCATCATAAAAGAATATTGAAAAATCTAAAATTTCATATTATTTTGGCCAAACTCCTATCTATCTAACAATTTTTAACTATACATGAATCAATGCAAATTGCTTTATTTCCTGGTATCAAGTTACATGTATCTTTTCATTACTATATGCATTATTTGTTGAGTTAAAGCCATCCTTTAAACAAAAATAATGATTGATTACAAATATACATCTTTCATACATCTCGTGTACCATCCTTCCTTTTACAATACAAAGTAATGTGTTTTGCTAGCACACGTAAGTGAGAAAATGTTTAAATAATAAATTTTATAATTAAAAACAGATTTATATAAACAAGATACATATATATGTATAACAATGAATATAGTAAATATGACGCAAAATTTAAACCGTTCAATGCAAGAAAGGAAAAAAAAATGCTGTGTTTCCATTCACCAAAAGCAATAGCCATTGAGTGGAATTAAAAAATTTAAAGAAACAAGGAAAAATAAATTGTGAGGATAAAATATTTTTTAAAAATCATTTCTTTAACATTCTTGTTTCGTACGATATTAAACATAATTATTATCAATATTGATTTTACTGTCAAATGTAATGATGATTTCTTGACATACTAGGCCCATTATTCACAATGCTTGCCCGATTTTCTTGGTAATGACCAGCAACCTGATGAGATACAGAGATAGCATATAATATACATGTTCTAGTACTTATGATGAATGATTTATAAGCAAGCAACAGGTACAGATCGCATTTAATTTTACATGTGAAACTTTTCTAACAAGAACAGGACAGACAATCAATTAAAAAAACTTAAATCTGATGAGAATTTAATTTAAATAAAAATTTTGAAAAACATTAAGCATTAAAGTTGCTCTTCAAAAAAAAACTTTTGAACATGTGGTAATTTGTAAAAATACTTCCATTTTGCATGTCTGTTTGTTTTTTAATTCTTCAATGAATAACATTAACTTTTGGTCTCCCTTTTTGTTTTGAACAAATGATTCCACAAAGAATTCAAATTGAAACTTTTAGCACTCTTAGCATACACCAAAGACTCAGATTATAAGTTTGTTTTTTTCTTTCCAGATGCAATGTGGAGCTCATTGTAATGGGAAATCTGATAACATGCACTTTCACAATATATTTTTGTTTTTTAGATTTAAAGTAACAAAAAAAAATAATAAAACAATAGAACTGAGGAGAAGAAGCAAGAAAAATACTGAATAAATATATTGGCACTTGCTAAATGTCATGTCATGAGTCTCACAAATTAAGGACAGATAATACAAACAAAAGAATGGATGCCTCGATTGGTATATATTTTTAGACCTATTTTGGTTGTAAATTATGCAAACATTAAATTTCTAAAATATGAAGAATTTTCATTCAACTCTAAAATATTGTGAAACTTTGAATGAAAAATTAAAATCTATGTGGTTAAAAGTATTCATTTTACTTCTATAAACATGACTTCAGTTATTTTCATGATTTTTGATAAAAGTTGTTTGTATCATCTGTCCTTAAGATAATATTGTAACCTGATTTATTGCCATAACTTAATTTAAAAAATCACATGTGAAAATAGCCATATTATAATTTTGTTTGTTTCCTCCTTTTTGAATGAAATTATCCTATCTCCCATTAGAAAAAAAACTGACAAAAATTTATTCAATTTCTACAATTTTGTTTAATATATGTAAATATGCATTAATAAAAGTTCAATTTAAAAGATTCTTTGCATATAGACTTCAATCAAAACATTCAAAATTATATCAAAAAATAGAATATAATCTTTAAACCAATTTATTTGTCAAAATGATATAATGGGAAACAAACAAAATTTTACATGTAAATCTGCCAAACTTTTACAGAAATACGATGAGTTTCACTTCATTCACTTTCATTATGGCACCCAATTGCCAAAATCCTGAGCCATTTTCTTAACACTGTCTTCTTTCTGATGATGTTGATGACTTGGCATCTGAAAACAGTCTACTGGAAAAGCACTGACAGTCTTGTTAAAAAGGCTAATGCTAAACTCGAGACACCCCACCACCAAAAACTTATGATCCTCCAGAACTGTGACCTTGGAGGTCATGTTTAGAAATCCTATACAGATGTCTGCGACTTTGGAATGAGAACTGAGACAAATCTTGGGAGCTGGTTCAACTAGAATAAAAATTTGTAATTTTTTATGAATTATGTCAATATATTGAGTGTAAAACTTCAAAACTCCTTCAAAATTTTAGGGGTGTAATATCACTACATTCATGGTTTTTAATAAGTTAAAAATTAATAAACAGGAAAATTCCTGGATGTTGAGAGAGAGAGAGAGAGATCTTACCTGGAATTTGCTTTTTATAAACTGGTTTCTTATCCATTGAAAATCTAAAATCCAGCTCCTGTAATATAAATTTTATGTTATATTTCAATAGCCAATAAATGAAGCATCTTTAGAAAAGTATCAAACTGCAAATGTGTACTAAGTAAGGTGTAACATCTATTGAAACAAAAAAATAAGATGTCTTGAGTTTTTTAGACATATTATTTTACTCGTATTTGATGTGACTGCTACTGAACCATATCATATACTGTAAACCAACTATTTTTTGCATCATCTTTTTTTTTTTTGCTATTCGTCAGTTTGAAATCAATCAGCAACGATTAATTTTCGTGACTGAGGAAACATTCTCTACAAAAACAAAGCAAAATAAATGGTTCATGGCAATTGATATCTGCAAGTCAAAGTAGGTCACAAAACTTGCGAATATTTCTGGCACGCGAATAATAGTTGGTTTACAGTAATCAGAAATGAACAATTTGAATAAGAACAAAATAAAATGTTCATCAATGTACATGTAGTGCTTTATTTGAAATTATTCGTGAAAAATCTAAAGAGTCCTGTGAATATTTTACCTGAGATTTGGACATAAATGTAATATTGGCACATCCTGTCATGTTGACTTGAATTCTTTTGTGAGTCACTCTAGAACAACACATACACTCGTAATCTCGACAATCACAAAATCCGACCCTATTTTCCATCACTACCTTACGTAAGGCGACAGTCTGGTTTCCCTCAGTCACATTGCTCTTTACTGGAAGCAGTTTCGGATAATTAACATCTATTTTCTCCTGCTTACTTAAATGATTGGTGTCTTTCATCACTTGACTGAGATCGTCCATTGTCAATTGTAATTTCCACACATCTGGGACATAAATAAATTTTATTGGATTTAATGTCTTTATCATTCCGAGCTGAGAAAGTTTTTCCATAGTCTTATTTTTCATCTTTTCACCTAAGTCCAGTGTTTTATTTTTCAGTTTCTCTCCAATTTTTAACACTTTTTCGAAATTCCCCTCCTGCTTTGCTTTTACCGTTTGAGTTATATTTTTACTTTCCTGCTTTAATTTTGAGTTGTCTTTCTTTTCCTCCTTGGCATCGCTCTTTTTGCTTTCGAGATTTGTTTTGCTCCCTGAGCTCACTTTGTCTTCCTGTTTTTTGGGAGAAGAAGTGATGGGAGCTTTTGTTTTATCCTCCCTATGGGGTGGGGGTTGGAGAACCTCATCCCTCCTAGGAGGGGGCTGTATCACCCCACTATTTTTTGCATTATGTATGGCCTCTGTAGCTTTTCTCACTGTTTCCTGAACCTTTTTTTGACCCTGATGTGCTGATGCTTCTCTACTCTGACTTGCAGACTGGACGACTTGATGTTCTACAAAGTATATAAACCAACAGACTACATTTTATAATCTCGACCAAATTTGTTAGATAATATTTATTTAAATGTACATAAGTAATCAGTACAAAATTTGTCTAGGAATTATTTCTGGATGTATTTGATTTACGAGGGGTGATCAAAAAGTTCGCAAACTATCTCTATATTTACAAAACCACAATTCAGATCAGAATGAAATTTGGCACACATATAGTCATACACATATTCTATAAATAGCAGGTGTTATATAACATTTTGCTCCGTGTTTGTGAAGTCACAATGTGAAAATGACGTCAATATGTAGGTCACTTGTGACAAAAAATGGTTGACTCAGTTGTACTCGAGCAACGAACGGCTGTCAAGTTTAACGTATAGCTTGGAAATTCCTTTGCAGTGGAATATGACAATTTGTACAAGGTTTACGAAGACAAAAAACTTACCAGAAGTTCAATCATTAATTGGATTGATTGTTTTAGTGAAGGTAGGGAGATGGTTAAAAATGATGTTTGTTCTGTTGCCCAGCGAAAGCAAGCCAGGGAAAAGATGTGTCCTTAGTTGAGCAATTTGTTATGAAAGATCACCAAGTTACAATTAGAAAAATAGTTGAATATCTTGACAATAAAATAATTATTTAATCCGTAAAATATCGTTTACTTTAAACATATGAGATATAATAAAAAGAAGTCGTCCATACTTTATCCATATCGGATCAACGACGCTCCCGAGACAGAAAACTCAGGTTCTGATGATCACCATGCTAATTCTGGGAAGGGATATCCTTATCCACCCATCCTATTGCCGAGATTTGGCCATTTCTGATGGATGGACTGTTCTTGTTATAAAAAATAACTTGCATGGTAAAAAATATAAGACTCGGAAAAATCTTTTAGCTTCTGTGAACAGAACGCCACGGAGTATGTCACATGACCACCTAGATCATGTGATTCGCGCATGGGCAGAACAATGGCAGATGTGCATTATAATCGGAGAGGATTACGTTCAAAAATGATGAGCACTGAAACCTCATTTTATTTCTTTTAAGGAAGTAATTCAATTAGTTCGCGAACTTTTTGATCACCCCTCGTAGTTAACAAACTTTAAATAAAATTCATATGCATAAAATTTTATTTTAAAGTATATGGTAGATTCCTTATTTTTCACGAGTACAGTGTACTTATTATCATGAAATGGCTCTTTAAAGTCAAATCACAAGAGCAAAAATTTGTAAGTGGACGGTTGATCAAAATTTTACAAGGATTTTAGCACCACAGAAATAAAAGCAAATAATTTTATTTCGTGAGTGGTGCTTATTGCCAAATTACATGATAATTAATTTCTCATATATATTTAGGAATCTAGAGTATTGACAATATTACATCTGAATGATATGTTCTTATAATTAAAGCAAGCGCAGCTAGCTTTTTGACAACACCAGGGCAAGGAGAAAATTTGGACTTTGCACATCTTTTTTTCAGTAACCTCCGGACCCTCAATCCTATGTGAATTGCATCTAGTCGCAAACTACTTTCTCATGGTAATATTGCTAAAAGTTCACAAAAAATAATCTCACCTTGATTTAATGGATATTGCAGATAGATAGTAGATTAAACATTCTATTTTTAAATTTGCACTTTTTTGCAATATTTTGTTATATGTGTCAGTATCATACCACAACTCTTACTATCATGTATATGGCAGGATGCACGAATCAATAATGAATACCTGAATACCAATACATCAATATACATATATCAATCCGCCTTAACTGCAAACATAAAAGAAGTTCAGCAAGTTGTTTAACAGATTTAAAGGGCATTTAACTATGGAATGCAATGAATGGTACATGTAGACAAGCTAACATTACACTATTTAGCCTGTGCTCTGTTGAGCAAACAATGTTTTATTTGTATTGCTATCACAACTATGGATATCTCATCAGATAGATTTCATCTTCTAAAAAATTATATATAAAACACCTAGGCCTACATGAAATTCCATGCAGATTTTTCAATGAAAATAGGACACGCAAATCAATCTTGTGGTAACTGGTTTTTGCAATTAGGCTCCTAATTTGATTGTACAATAGCATGGAAGTAAGAATGTGGACATTTCGAAATTTATCGATAAAATCAGGGACCTATAAACTGAAAAACAGAAAATTTATTATTGTTAAGATATAGGTCACAGTCAGTAACACGTTTCAGAAACGGCAGTTTTGGAACATAAACCTGGCATACACACACGTCGTTCTAACGCCCACCTATGCTCTGGTAATGTACAGCTGTCATGTTCGATGACGAATCATCGAGGAAATTCTAGCTAATAATATTGAAAATTCATTACACAAGTATGTGATTACCTGATGAAAAGGACAATATATAATAAAACAACCAGAGCGTAGTTGCACACAATAACAAGAATAAAATGTGCTTTCTTCGATACATAAGGCGGAGAAAGCCCATTTTGTGGATTCACACCATGTTTACATCATATCTGGTTCTCAGGTGGAAAAAACCAGTTTATTATATAATTTAAAAAACCTGTCTTCAGGTGGCCCATATAATTCCGGATAAATGCTCCTTATTTACTTTCTAAATAACATTTTATAACTAAAAAGCAGTGTCAAAAAGTCGTTGCAGTAAGAAAAATACCGGTAATATCACAGGTACTTGGGTCTTGGTTTATAAATATGTATGTACCTTATTGATATGTAAAAAAAAGTACTTTTTTTACATATCAATAAGGTACATACATATTTATAAGCCAAGATCCAAGTACATGTACCTGTGGGTAATATCACAAAGGCATTTATACTTAGACTTTTCATAAACCATTCACAGGGAATCTGGATCGAGCTATAATATGTTCCCCCCCCCCCGGTCCCCTTGCCCTTTCCATCGTTTTTCAGACTTAATTTGCTCATCAATTATTTATCTATAAAATAATTAAATTGCACTTTAAATGTAAATTTTAAAATGACCTTAAATACCACATTTATTTATTTAAAAAAAGACTAATATACCTTTCTCAAAGCTTTCTACGATGTGCAATACATTGTGAATATGTTTTTATCTCATTTATTTATTTTTTATGCATGTCCATGCAGTAGTTACTATTGCACATGAAAAATCTTCTTCAAAAATAAATAAATAAGAATGACTGGTGCACACATCTCCATGATTACATTGGTTACGACAAATTTCGTCAACATCCCCACCAAGCCTGAAATATAGCATGTATAGGGAGAAATAGTATTCTATAACCTTGATGAAAACGTTTTCAAGACTTCATTAATCAAAGTGAAAAAGGGAATCAGGATTCATCTATTACTTTTTTGCATATCTAATTTCGCTTTCGGTCATCGCAAAAAATCCAATTTTTTGACGAAATACAATAAAGTTTTAGATCTGAATTATAATTATAATGATATGACAATATTAAATACTGTTAAATGGACATTGACAATTATTGCTTCCAGGCTGTATCAACAAATATCACGCTTAAAAAGGCTAAAGCAGCCACTGACTCAAAGCTTAAATTTATGAGCATGAAAAATATTTGTTTGCATAATTTATATATGTTAACAGTGATTTTGCTCTTTTAATTGCACTTGACATGCATTTTATTTTTATTACTGTAGTGGTCATTTGAGGCAATTTCTACGTATACATATCTCAAATTCGAAGCATAAAACACGCGCGCTGGCAATACTACTTCTTTTGAGGTCACAGTAGGTTAACATGTATGGCAATACATTGTGAATATATTTATTTATTTATTTATTTTAAAAAAAAGATATATGAACACTCCAAGCAGTATATCCTGCAAAATATAAAGCATGAAAATATATACACGTAGATATAATCTTTAGGGTATATATAATGGTAAGGGGAAGTCCACAGAGATGAAAACAAAGCCTTCAGAATCCAATCATAAATTTACACTGAGTAATACCCTTCAAGCTGAATTCGTATCAATTTTACATTGTAAATATTTATAATTAGCACACCGCCGCCATGTATTTGACACGAGATGCATGTAACTGTCAGTCATTATAAGACATAATGAATATTTATCGTTAGTAATCATGTCTTCTCGTACTTTCTCACCAAAGCCTACCATTGTTTACATGTAGAAACATGAGCCCTGGGAGGTGACCAGTTTGTGCTGTCATTAATGACCCTAAATCACAACAAGGACTGAACGAGAAAACACACAGCCCCCATAAACATCAACATGATTTCCAACTTTTTGGGGAAGTTCGCCAGAATAGTAACAAGAAAAGAAAAACAGGGTGGTAGGGGTGTTACCAACTGTCGCTTAATCGTTCATCTCTTAATGGATCCTTGGAAATGATGATTTCATAATTGACCTTAAGGTGTGTCCTGATCTCATGAAGTTGAACGTCCATATCTAACCCGAACACCCATATCTTTCTGAACGCAGCCTAGACTTATAAAGAAAAAGAAACATGTATTTCCTGCTTAACTAATTTTTTTTCTAGTAAAAACTCATATGCAAATTAATTGGTATGCTTGGATGTACCTGTATTAAAATAGGGTCCACAATTGCCCATGCTACAATTTAAAATTTATGAATCATAAACTGTTCGAAGGGACGGTAAGTTTTTGACCAATATTATATATTTTAGCGCAGTTCGCCTAGAAGATTTGATGGTTCACCATGACCTAGTTTCAATTTACTGTCACCGCATTTTATTTGAAAGGTGTGAAAACAAATGACCTCTTTGACATATCTAGATCCCGGCTCTCACATACGATACGATATGAATCACTTCATCCTGGTACCAAAGATTCTTTTATTGCAAACGTGACACTTAAATCAATAAAAGAAAAGGATGTTTGTCGTAGCCCACATAGGTCACGATAAATGCTATATTATAAACAAGAAAGTTTTTGCAAAATTTATTGTTTAAGTTTGTCTGTAAAATCTGGAAATAAAAACCATTCAAAGCTATAGTGACCCTTTAAATTTTCTGCCAGACATACCAGTATAACCAAGGTTTATTGGTATTTTCAATTCGGTTTACGAGATGAATATTGTGTTCAAGAAAAGAACCTATAAAGACAACAATGTTCTGAAACTCATACGGGAAAACTACATTATATTGTTTAAAGTCTGGCAAAATTACAGATGGTTTCTCTAGACCAGAAAAGAATGACCAGGAGGAACTCTGCTGGACAAAACTGACCAAAAGTGCAGTCCATCATTTCGGAAAAATGCTTCAATGTCAGTATTTCCGAAGTCTGCAATTCTGGATCCTCCCCATAAACTTTTATTTGCAATCTAGAAACAAGTTTACTGTTGTATTGTCGCTATGGTACATGTACAGTTGGTGTTACCAGTCGACAAGGGATGCTTTCTCCTCTTAGGCACCTGATCCCACCTCTAGTGTTTCCCCCGAGTCTGTGTCTTTTGCCCTGTTAAATTTAGTGTTGTTTACAGCATTTTTTTTTTCAAAATAAATTATCACTGTTCTATACATTCACAATTTTCATTGGTATACATTTATATGAAAAATAACTTGAAGGATATCCACTAATACATTGTAGTTCTATAAGGGGTCGTTTTGGTATTTACTGCCATTTAGTGATATCTTCTATTCGAATAGGTGATATCACGTATTCAAATTGGTAATATCACCTATTCAGCTTTTGAATTGGTAATAATTACCAATTCGAATAGGTGATATAACCTATTCAAATCAAATAGGTGATATCACCTTTTCAAACCATGTATAAAATAACAACTGCTCCCAAGACTATACATTACTCTATACAGGAAGTAAACGTTTCTGTTTCATATACATAATTAATAATAACAGGGAGAAGGTATCAATAAATATAGAAAAAGTGATTGTAATTAAGTAAAATAATTTCACAACGATCTATAACATATGGTGTTTTAAATTGTATCAGATTATAACACAGGGGAAAAGGGCAGACCGAATTTGCTTAGGGTCAATCAAAATCTAGTTTCACGTGTGTAAATTGAGTTGTTCTATGAACGTTTTTCTGCATACTTATTATTTATGAACAGTGCCCCCTCCATGTCCTCCCTTTGTGCCCAAAAATGTGATCTTACAACGAATCTTTAGTGTATTTGATCAAAGCAATTCTGAAATAGTAGAGGATGTGGCTTAGATAAAGTTCAAAAATCCAGAGAAACTTTTAGTTATACTCTTTTTGAAAAGTTTGTTCAAGAAGATGAAGTACTTGGTAGTTGAAATTTTGGTACATGTATTTTTCACTTCTTTCGGGTTTGCAAAATTCTCTAACTTGGAACATGCATTGTTCAATACGTGTAGTTTACATATGGCACATATATAGTTTACTTATGGCAAAATAAATAAATAAATAAATAAATAAATAAATAAATAAATAAATGTTACACATGTAAACAGACAAATAAAAAACTTGACTTTTAATGCAAAAAAAATCGTATGTACTGTTTGTTGACCAGTACATGCTGTACAACATATAAGCATATAACCAATAATATTAATGATTATGGATCGTTATAATTACTAATCATGATTAAGGAAAAACAGTCTGAAAGGAATTGATGACACTAATATATCTTGATCTGATAGCTATGCCGCCCAGAGTTCATATATTAAAAAATTCCTTAATTGCCAACTCATGTTTTAGCTGTATGTAATATCTCTGTCTTGGATCTTGTTTTGAATTATTTTTGTCCTTATTCACAAGAAAAAATCTAATTGAAGTATTTGATCAGGTATATTTGACCATGATACAGGTCAAACATTCCAACTTGATTCTGTCACAGATTACTAAGGTTTACTTGAGTCAGTCATCATATAAGGCACACTGTGTCACCTACAAGGTAAACTTAGCCACTATCAGACTCTTTACATATTGTAGAAGTAAATTTAAATTCTATTTTTATCACATCAAAAGGCACACCAAGGGGATGTTAATTTGTTGATTTGTTTTATGTTTTATTTTTTTAAATGAACCAGAAAATAGAGGGAGAGTGGAATCTAAAGCGGTCAAGTACCACCTTGTAACTTATCAATGGTTTCATATGAAGTATTCCAGTGTCGAGCAAACTTAAGGTAGAGGCTAATTTCTTTATATAAATTGTTGCACTTGACTATCAGAAAGAAAACAGACCAGATATTCAAGAAATTGAAACTATATCAGATAACTTATATCCATGCAGTGCGTCTTATTTCATCATATGGGTGGCGATATCCTTACTAATACATAGATATATTATCTTTTTGATCTCAAATTGATAGAAAGGTAACTTCAAAATAAAAGAAAAAAAAATAAACAAAAACAATCCTTTTAATATTGTTTAAAAAGAAGTACTAATAGAATGTAGATTTGATGATCTCATAATGAAATATTACTGAAATTAACATGATACTTACAAAGTACAAGTAAGCCTCTTCAGATGATGGTTTGAACATCGATTTCTCGAACAATACCATGGATACGTCCAAGCGATTTGGACGTC